TTCCGAAGCAACTTCATTATGGAGAACTTGCCCAGGGAAAGAGACCAAGAGGAAGACCAAAATTGAGGTACAAAGACACCTTCAAAAACAGCTTATCTAAGCTTGGAGTAGATGTTAGCACCTAGGAAGAGGACAGGAAAACATGGAGGAAAATGGTAAAAGAAAGAACTATAATGTTAGACAGCAGCCTTAGAAACAACCAGGCTGAGAAGTGCCAACGACGAAAGGAATATAGTGGGAATACAGAGCTTCAATCCACGTCACTTACAGGCAAGCACTGCGACAGAATCTGCGCTTCAAACATAGGAACAATTAGCCATGAAAGAAACAGCATGAAGACAATCTTGAGACCATGTTAAGTTAAATTGACCGTCTGCATAGACGAAAAGAGCAATACATATAGCAGCAATGACGTCACCAGGGAAAACGCACGAGGGCTACTTTTGTCCACTCTGGGACACTGGGCTTCCTTGCCTGCGAGGGCAAGAACTAGCTCGGTCACGATGCGCGTCCCACGCAATGTCTATAGTTTATAGGTGTTTCTGGAGCGAAAAGTGTTGATTTTCCCGCGTTTTGTTGAGTTTTTGCTGAAGGTTTTTTTTTTAAACTTAGCTATTATTGTCTAATAAGGTAACGTACAAACTTACACACTACTGTCCAAACTGCTAGATTGTGGGGAAAATGAATAAACTTAAGCGTGTGGTATAAATAAACGATAGATACAGAGATATAATGTTTTGTTTGTTCGATTTTTTTCGGGGGTAGGGGGGGGGGGCGAGGAGAAACCGAGTGAGCGACAGAGACACATTTATATTTACAAAATGGGTGTGCTTTTTTCTGTTGCCTTCACCTCGTTTTCACTAAGTACCAGAGTTTCATGATCAAAATCAAAGTACAATTCGGGAGAGATTATGCTCATTTGAGGAAAGTTATTAGAAAGACTCAAGTTCTCTTAAGACGTTGGATGCTGTGGTGTCCCTTCTCTCTGGATTTTGAACCAAACATGTTGGGATTGATTTTTTATTCTTCATTCATTATAGCTTCGCTTCAGGGTTTCCTTCTTTTTCTCCCGTTCACATTCTTTATATCTCCAAGAGGTTTGGAATAGAGCACTCATCTATGAATCTTGGTAAGGCACACCATCATCTGTGGCTTATGTGCTACTGCATACATCAACGTTGTTGAAAAGACCATTTTATTCTTTTATTTATATTTCTTTGGATACTCTAAGGATCTTCTGAAAAAGTTGTCTTAAGCAGGGTTGAGGCAGAGATAGTTGTGTATCCGTTTCTCTTCTGTGTGTCAAATTCATTATCTTCAGATGGAAGAGCTCAGTGCATTCTCTCAAACGTTTTATTTTCTCGGGAAACCAGGGTCTTTCACTGGCATGTTGGCGAGAAACGAGATTGTTGCACTGGTGCAATCGTCAAACTGGGAGAGAGAGAACCTAAGATTAAGAACACATTGTTTCTGATTATAACCAGCAGCGATTTGACGTAGATTTTGTTTTTAAATTGATCACTCTGTAGTCCAGATCAAACGTTTAATCATGTTTGAATCCTTTATGATATAGATTTTATTATATAGTAAACATGTTGATGTTGACCTAAAGAAGATCTTGTTTTCCGCATTGCAATGTGACGCATGCTATTCTGTCCACTGATCACGAGACGCCCTCATTAGTGCACCACAATAAGAGTGAAAAGGGAGAAAAACTTAGCAGTTTTTTTCTTTTTTCAAAATAAGCAATTAATTAGCTTTAATGAGATCTTAAAGAGAAATTGTAGGCATAATGATCCGCGCTCAATCTGAATGAGTTAGCAAATACAGTGCGCGCCACACGTCAACAGGGATCATTTTGTGAGGCAGTGAGGTGAAATCAGACGCTCGTTTCAAAGAAAGTGGCTATTCTCACCCGCCCGGAAGATCTCGCAACATCAACTCCTCCCCTCTTCTCTCTCTCTCTGTCTCTTTCTGAATACTGTCTATCGGTGTGGACGATCAAATTGACCAAAACAAAGTTAAAAAATGATGTTAAAACACAAAAGTAAATTAATTTGGTTGTCTACAAAGATGCTACGGCTATTTAACTTTTCGAATCGAGCCGAACTACGCGGGTCGCCATTTTGTTTTGCCTGGAAATTCTCGCGCTACTCCTCTCTCTCTTTCTCTCTCTCTCTCCACTGCCCACAGACAAAATTGTACGCTTTTAGTAGGCTACAGTTGTAATGGAACGTTTGTTCACGGCATAGAATTCTACAATTTTTCTGTTATCACAGTGTAGAATTCTGTGGTTTAGGGTGAACGCAAAATTTGCTGAACGCGCACCGGGTGAGAATAGCCACAAGACTCGCCTGCACTATTCTCACTCCGGGTGAGAATAGAGGTGGCCCTCGTCAAAATAATCTAAGTGAAGAAACTGGCATTTTTTCGTAGGTTTGTGAATTAAAAAAAAAATAGAATTTCGTGTTTTGGCTCAACACCTTTCATGTCAATTAAAGAACACATTTCTGTGTGGATTTTGCTGAAAACCGTTGATTAAAGGCACAAAAAATGTAACTTTTCAGTTTCCACAGACCCTCAAGCTAAGGAAATAACTAATCTTTGGCGTCCGTTTTCTCACTTATTTTACATCAGAAACTAGGTTACCCCAACCTCCTTCATCCGCAAATATATTGACTTCTAAAAATCAATTCAAGGTAAAAGGATATTGTATTCACCGAAAGCAAGACAAATGAACAAGCTTTAAAATGATACAAACAACTCTACATACTCAAAAATTGACGAAAGCCCGATTCCATTGCATTGGAACACATATTATTATTATTTCGTAGGCGTTTTGTTATTATCTGTGTGCATTTTTGATTCAATTCTGTTCCCAAGGGAGAGAATCTAAGATTGTTTCCATGCATATCATTATCAGCTTCAATCTTTGTTTGATTCCATTTCTCTTATTTCTACATACATGTCAATACATTCGTTCAACTCGTGTCTGAAGAGACGAACAGCGTCTTTTCGTTCATTCTGAGGTTTCCTCTTTAAGAACACGTTGAATTAGTGTATTTCATGTGTTTATGAACCTTATCTTTTTTTTTTTTTAGTGAGAGTTTTACGGCACTTGCAACACTATAAGGTTATATAAGTGTCGAAGATTAGAGGTGTTACAAGGGATTAGCAAACACAAAAAAGGAGGGGAGTTATTTCCTAAACTTGAGAGCCCATGGAAACTTAAAATTTCCATCCCTTATGCCTTAAATAAACGTTTTTCAGTACAATCCACACAGAAATGTGTTCTTTAACGGGGTATGAAAAGTGTTGAGCCAAAAAACAAAAATTTTATTAAAATTCCCAAACCTGCGAAAAAAATGCCTCTTTCTTCATTTCGACCATTTTGGCGAGTGCCTGATTTCACCAAGCTGCCTCACAAATGCTTACGGTAAATTCTTGGCATCAAATGGCAGGAAAAAAACCCAACAACAACCAAACACCGAAGTTCTTAAACGGGCAAATACAGTGCGTTTGTTTTCTAAGCTCAAATCGGTTGAACTTTGCTGGGCTGGTCATGTCTAAGCAATGTCTGATTTCAGAACCTAAATGCAGTACATGTATTCTAGTCTGAGCTGTCCTCACGGAAGCGTAACGTTGGCGCACAAGAAGAACTACTATAAAGACACCCTGAAAATGTCCCTAAAGGACTTCGGCATCAATCCTATGCCACAGGAGACTTCGGCTGCTGACAGAGCTAGATGGAGAAAAAGCAATCACACAGGGCAACGAATCACGACAGGCTTCATGATTTAGAAATACTGAAGCTCACAGAGAAGCCCACAAGCTGGGTACATCCATATGTTGAAATGAAAAATTGATCTCAATGGCCATAGCAGAAGCCAATATCCATCTTAATCTTTGATCCTTCAGGAGAATATTAATTTATTCTCCTCTGTATATGTCTTGTTCACTCTTAGACAGATGGACGAAACTATGGTTGTTGTATTTGTGTGTGTATGTGTGTTTGTGAGTGTGTGTGTGTGTGTGTGTTTGTGTATGTGTGTGTGTGTGTGTGTGTGTGTG